AAAGAAAGAAAGAAAGAAACACTATTATTACAATTTCTTCTATGTTCTATATCTTTAATTTCACCGATTTAGTTTCAGTTTTCAGACGATAAAAGAAGTTTTGAGGAGAGAAAGTCGTTTAAAGTGAACTTTTTAGACAATTCTAGCTCTGCTCCCAAGCGTCAAGTTCAGGAAGGAAAGGCTTGAAAATATCGATCAAACTTCATTTTGCGAATGCAGCAGTAAACAAACTGCACGTGGGAATCGGGTAGCGTCTTTCAGTACCTCTTTCCACTTTCAGACTAGGGACCACGTTTAAAGATGCAATTTTTATTGCTCCCTCAGCCCTGAAATTGTTCCTTCAGTTCTCTATCGAAAACTGCATGTTAAACTACTTCAAGTCCAGTGCTTCCAGTTCCTCTACCAGTGCTTAAAATAGAGGTTAGTTTCAATTTAAGTTGATACGATAATGTAAAATTGATTATACCGGTGGATTTCAAGATATTATCTCTTAATAATTAGATATATGATATAAATAAACTGGTAATTAGCAATTCTAGGCAAAGGCAGTAACTCGAAACTCTGGTCGTTCAAATAAATCTATTTACCGACCTCACAACACGTAAGTAAAATTACGGTCCTGCGTGTATTGAGGACTGAGCATTCATATGACAGTATTTGCGAAGTTCTGATTAGCTGTTTTATTTTTGTTAGCATTTGTTTTACAATACTAATTTATTGTAAAAGTCACACAAATAGCGATGCTAGACAGAATTATATGGACCACATTTTGCAATAAAGGAACCACTAATTCTGGCTCATTTTAGAAACAGCATATATGCCATTATTTTCCCTAGGCAGAAAGGTGCTTTTATACAGAAGAGCCAGAGATAGCGGTGCCTTATCGCAAAATGCAATCCATATTGCCGTGCTAATGGAAAACGCCGCGCGTGCATTTCATTTTAATGAAATGTTTATTTTGAGGGAGAGTTATGAATAATTTCTCTTGAAATTTTTAGTTATTAAAGATCTAAGTAACTACGAATTATTCTGAAAAATCGGTGGGAAATATTCACAGATTTCCTTGAAATTGTTCATTTTATCAAAGAAAATTTGGCAACATCTGAAGGCTTGCCATGTGTTCTTCCTAAACACGGCAGTAAAGGTAACCCACTTGATACGAGAGAAGGAAATAGACTGCATCGAGTGGCGGTGCTTTGAATACTATGGCGTAACCTTCCGCGAGAAACGAATTTTAAGCCACCTGTTCCAGAATAGCGCGGGTAAATACTCCTCTTTGTGTTCCGTAATCTGTACGCAATGATGCAGGGTTGCATTTCGGCCCCGTTACAGGAGAAAACAGGAGTAAATAATTTGAAAAAATGCAACCCTGTAAAATTTGTGCAGGGCACTAAATTCACATCTCTCATGAGTCGAAGTATTCTGCAAAATGAAGTCGTTGCGCTAATTATTCTTAATTTTAGGGTGACTATTGGAACTGAGATTAATTAATGGACATCATTATTACAAAGGATGTTCAAGAAACTAGCCAGAGATGTCATTACGTCGAAGAGAGAAGACTTCGATTCGATTCTGAAAAGAGGCTTACAAAAACAAAGAGAGGAGGTTGCGTTGGCATTGCAACGTTTCCCTTACTTCGATGACTGGGGTGAGGAGATCATCAAAGAGACTTGCTCTGTGTCCAATGTCAGAAGTTATCTGCCTAACAAGTTGGTTTTAGGTAAGTTCATGTTATTCGATGGGGCTGGTAAAATGTCTTCCTATTAAGAGGTTCTTGTTTCCTTCAGGCAAACAACTATCAAAAATTTAGGCATTTTGTGCTCCACCCCTAAGAGTTAGTTGATCCACAGAGGGGAGCAGAAATCCGATACGACAGAGAGAATTTGTCCTTGAAAGTTTCACATAGATGGCGATAAGGTTCTAGATGTCATACGGATTTATAATTGTCGACTTCTGAACCAAGTTCTAAACAAACTTTTATAAATATTTTTGCCGAGAATTACACGTTTTCTGTACGTATCATTTTTTCGGGAGGCCCGCGAAAAACTTAACAGTGATGAAATAAAACAGAGAATGGCATATACTCTCTGAAATATATCGATTGTATACAGGGTGGCCCAGACCTACCGTACCAGGCCTTTTTTTCGGTTAATTTAAGTCGCACAAAGTCCAGGATCGCGGGGATGGATAGGTAATCAACCCCAAGGAATCCGAATTTCATGGTCCCAGAGCCCCCCTGGCGTATCTTGGGGGGTAAAAGAGGGGTCCGTACTTCAAAAGTCAGGGCTTATGTCAAAATTTTGAAATTATTCAATCGGAATCAGAACGTACGGAAATGTTTAACTGAAATCGACACCAAGAAAGCCAAAATCGGCCCATTCGTGTCCAAAATACCGACCCCAAAAGGCGGGGGACAGAGCCCCGTTTCAAGAAAATTCAAGTTCGTTAAATTGACGTAGACTCGGAAAAAATATGTATATATAGGTAATCGACCCCAAGGAATCCGAATTTAAGGATCCCGTTGTCCTCAGAGACTTTTCTGATGGGGCACAGGGGTAACCTTCACACGGGTTACTTTAATAGTTCAGAGTCCCCTTGTGCCCCATCAGAAAAGTCTCTGTGGACAACGGGACCCTCAAATTCGGATTCCTTGGGGTCGATTACCCATGAACACACATTTTTTCCGAGTCTCCTCGTCAATTTACCGAACTTGAATTTTTTTGAAAGGGAGCTCTGAGCTCGGAGCCAGGAGCCAAGAATGAATTTATTTAATTTATTTGTTCCACGTCAATTGTTGGCAGAGTAAGAAAGATGGCAGTTTTTTCGGCAAAAAATCAGATTTTTCAATTATTAACGAAATATAACATTTTCATTGAAGACAGATGGAAACATCATTTTTCAATTCCAGTGCATCTTAATTTTTTACGTAGAAAACGGACTTCGGACAAGTAGTCTTCTCATGGAGAAAAATTCCCAGTTAAAATTTACCACGCATAAAAGTTCAGGAAATTCTGCTTATTTTTCCTTTGCTTTTATTTTTTTAAAATAATCTAAACACATTTTCCTCGGTTTTCTAATGGACTAAAGATTCACCAAGAACAACTGCGCATTGATACCTCAAGGCACCAGTTTTCTTTTTAAACGAGTTCGCCTTCAATTTTGATGCCACTTCCCGCACAACACTGAAGCACGAATAGTTGCTCTAAGGAATTAATAATGTACATAGGCACTCTTGGCCGAATCTGCACCCAAAAGAAGGATGCTGATTCAAAATTCTGGATGTAAAAAAGTGTGCGACAACTCACAAAACGCTGAATTGACCGCTACAGCAGTTACTTTAGCAATGTCAAAATGTAAAACTAACTGCTAAGGCGGTTAATTCAGCGTTTCGTAAGTTGCCGGACACTTTTTTACCTCCAAAATGATAAATCAGCACCCCTTTTTTTCGGGCTTTAACGAATTTTCCTCGCTTTTTCGGCAACATCGTGAACCTTCCAAACGAGCGTGAAAGGAGCCTTGCTTTGAATAAGATTCAGAGATAACCCGTGTTAATATCAAAGGTCGCGCCGGTGGACGCACCTGAAAAGAAAGTTGGGTGATTTATGAGTCGAAAGCTCCGGGACCCGATTAACCCGTTTTCATTTACGCCAGCATCTCTGCCGTGCTAAGGGAAGAACGCCGTATGAGCATTCGAGAGTTGCCAAATTTCTCCGAAAAAAAACATGTATTTTTGAGGGAAGTTAGGCTTATTTTCCCCTGAAATTTTCAGATATGTTGGATTATATTGCGAACAAAATGGAGATGTTGCATGTGTGAGGGATTTGCGATTTGACTATTGATTCTTATGTAAAAGTTCGTGAGAAACACGATGGCGCCACTGGTTTTCTCTGAAATCATCTCTCAAGCTCAAAAAAGCTCTCAAAGTGAGGCCAAAATGGAGAGATATCCCACCCTACCCTGAGTGTCCACCTCTACAACAAAGCAAACTCTCCATGCAAAGATAGGGAGCAAATACATTAGGAGGGTTGCCGTGTTTTCAGTTTTGGAGTCCCTAAATAAAGTGGCAACCCTGCTAATGTATTTGCTCCCTATCTTTGCATGGAGAGTTTGTTTTGATGTAGAGGTGGACTCTCAGGGTAGGGTGGGATATCTCTCCATTTTGGCTTCACTTTGAGAGCTTTTTTGAGCTTGAGAGATGATTTCAGAGAAAACCAGTGGCACCATCGTGTTTCTCGCGAACTTTTACATAAGAATCGATGGTCAAATCGCAAATCCCTCACACATGCAACATCTCCATTGTCTGTAATATTCGACGAAAAATATTTAAAAGTTTTGCAGTGAATTTGCTATTTATTGAAGGAAATTTGGCAACGTCTGAAGGCTCATACGGCGTTTTTCCTTAGCACGGCAGATCTGGGCATCGATGAACCTCGCTCAGAGTCACACTGTCTATAGAGGGGTCGCACAACCTACATCAGAGAATCAAATTGAAAGTGAATTTAAGGTGGCTCTTCAGCTCATTGGAAAAGGACTCGAAAGTCGATTGATTCAGTGATGATTTCTGGATTCTAGTTCACTTCTTCAGGATTTTCGAGCAGCGCATTTGACTCCAGAACTTTGGAACTTGTACATATGATCATAGATTTGCGTTTTCGCTTGTAACACACTCGTCTTAGCACTTGAAACATTCCCTCTCTCTTTTAACAGACGGAACAAAAGGAGCTTCGCAAAACTTCACGTATTTCATTTTAGACGGCAGCTGTTGCGTGATTCATCGTCTACGAGTAACATCCAGCCTCGTCGCCGGCCAGTGTAAATTCAAAATGTCCCCAGACCAAAGTGATTCCGCCTCTCCAAATTCTCAGAGCATCTACATGCAAACATGTATATTCAGAGCTGGTGTTTGTTTCGGTCTAGGTTAGGAAAACATGATTTTTTCAATCATTCCTCAATCTGCCGTGCTAAGGAAAAGCGTCGTATGAACATTCAGACGTTGCTATATTTCTATTGGCAAAAGCCCAATTTTTCTGACGATTTGGTAACGATATTTCTTTGAATTTTTAGGAATTTCAGTCAAAATTCAATCCGATGTCTGAAGATTTTGAGGCAAAATTTTCGTAATTATTCTTAAAAAATAGTATTTTTTTCAGCCCAACTTTGGCTACTTTATAAATTGATCATATGACATTTCTTCGTAGCACAGCAACATTTCGGTCATTGACTTAATTTTCTTGAGACTTTAAGAAGACGTACAAGTGAGGCAAAAAGTATAACTTAAATCAAGTAAACGTGGGAGAAAAACCAGAGTCTCAGTATTATACTGCCTTCACTTCAATCAATTCATTCACCGTCAATTTTGAAATAAAAATTAGAATTAATACACTAGAAAACTAGTCACATTGGATCTAGAGTCCACATTCTTACAAACATCGAAAAGAAAAAGTACTCTTGATTCAATTAGAATGTAGCTTAAATCAAGAACCAAGCCGTTTAATTTAAGCGGATTTTGTTTTGATTCAAGCAAAAATCCGATGGAATCTAGAGTATTTTTTCTTGTCAATGTTTCCAAGAGTCTGAACTCTAGATCCAATGTGTTTTTTTTTCCAGTGTAAAAGAACAAAATTCTAAATACGATATTTGTAGTTTGCCATTGTTTCTTGTTAAAATACTCATTTCTCGGGGAAGTTCAGTTTATTTTTTCTTGAAATCCTCGGACTTCAATTCAAATTGCGGATAAAATTCTTCAAAAAAATTTCCAGGTAATACGAGATTTACCAAAGGGAATGTGGTAACACCTGAAGGCTCTTACAATATGTTTCCTTCATGGAAGCATAATCGAATAGATACTGGGTTGATGTTCCAGGTGAAAATCTTGAGAACAAGTGGGTTGTGGCCCAGAACGCGGTGAAGTGCCTGAGGATCCCATTACACGTGCTCATGGCCAACAATAAAGGCAACGTGTGGTGCCGGATCCGGCAGTTTCTCGACCTCCGATTCCCCAGTAGCGACGAAGTGTTCAAACAATTCGTGGCGCAGAGAACCTGGACAGAATTCCGCAAGAAGAATTTTGAACTGTGCATCAAAAGGAGGAGCACGAGAAGTGGGATCAGTTACACGGATGTTCCATATTGCTACCGAGTGAACAGCAGTTTGCCGGCTCTACATCATCCCACCGCTAAGAGGCTCAAATCTAAACGAAAATCAACATCATTGGGTGCGTACTACCGTCGAGAGAGAACCCCGTATGAGAATTTGGACTATTTACGTTTTTTCAAATAGGAGCTAATATCCAGGCTCATTTTAGAAAAAACGTGTGTGCTCCTCATGCAGACATGTTTCTTTGTTCTTGTGCAAACAGGTGATCCTTCCACTTCTTCTACTTATTCTACTTCTTCTACTTCTTCTACTTCTTCTACTTCTTCTACTTCTTCTACATCTTCTTCTTTTTCTTCATCATCCTCTTCTTCCTGTTCTTTCACCTCCTCTCCCACTCTGATTTTCCTTTGCAGAGTCACTTAAAAAATGTATGCACTCACGCTACAAAAAGTATAAGTCGGAGCCACATACAGACTGTAGAAAATGTGATGCCGACCTAAGAATATAGATAGAGTCCATTTCAGTATGGAAAAATATTGCATACGAAGAGCATGAACTCTCGTCCATACTGTATGGACCCCCAGCGTCCATACTCTATGAACCCCCAGCGTCCATACCCTATGAACCCCCAGCGTCCATACTCTATGAACAGTAAGTTCATACACCTGCTTTAACATACACGCATGTTTACAGCACATCTCTGCTCTAGTCGTGAAAGCTAGACCGTATGTGCGAACGGTTCATACCTTAAATTTTCCAAGCAGTATAAACTCTCGTCACATTACCATTTTTTTCGGTAAATAGGTGTTTTTACGCATGAAGTAGAGGGACATTTAGTTCCTTTTCGCACGATGTGCTTCATTTTTAGATTGCAAAATACTATGACCAATAAGACACGAATTTCCCGGATAACATGTGAATTTTTCCCCTTGAATTTTTCAGGGAACTTCAGTCGCAATTTTATATAATGCGCCTGAAATTTGAAGGGAAAATATTCATAATTTCTGATCAACTTTAATATCCAACCCAGAAAAATTTGGCAACGCCCGAAAGTTCGTGCAACTTTTTACTGCAGCATATGAAGAGGGAACAGTTGTTACAGGTTAATAGTTGACATCTACGTCGTTTTTTATGACCAATGAGAGAACAGCGTGGAAAATTATGGTTAGAGATCTTGTAACAATTTGGTATCAACCCTAGAGCTCCGTTTGAGTTCGCTCCAAATGTGATGCATAAAAAAATAACGACGGTAGCGGCATCGCTAGAGTATGTGCATAAAATTAGTATCACTCACTTGGTAAAACTCAAGGAAAATTGGAATGTTACGCGATTTTACTCCCTGTTTCCCATTGTTGCAGCGGACGAAGTGTCATCGAATTATCATCCTCTCAAAAGTTGATTAGTTCGGTAGAAGTTTATTAATTAAGTAGGAATTGATGAACTGAAAAATTAAGCGTATGAATAATCTGGGCATTTTTTCTATCGAAGTGTTGAAAACCGCAGATGCCGCAAGTTGAATAATCACATCAAACACAGTGCGGCCGGCGCGGGGCTGCGCTCGCACAGCGCGGAACGTCCAGTAGCGCCTTAGAAGACCGCGGGATACTTCATGCATTGCGCGTACAGCACGGTGCGCGCGACGCATAGTATAGCGCCTTACAAGTCTGCAGGATACTTCATGCATTGCGCGTATACCACGGTGCACGCTCAAGTCGTTGAAAAGCTTTATTTTCTCGGCGTCGAACCTATCCCGGTGTACACAATTTCCGAACAATGCAAACCGCGAGCATGCAATCCTAAAGGATCACAGGATTAACTGAGTGAAACGAGCGTTTCGTCTCTTGTTCTATTAACTTGTCAGTGATTTTGATGGGCTCCAGTATATTTTTCAACTCGTTTTACGTTGAGTTTTTAAATAATCCCAAAATTTAAAATTCAACAATTAAAATACAACAATATAAAGTTTTTATATTTTTGAAGGAAAACTGGTAAACATCAATAAATCGCTGATCGATTGTTCGTGGCGGGTAAAACTTAACCACAAATTTCATGAAAACATCACTAATGAGAGTAATTTGGAGAAGTGTTATGATAGGAAAATTACTGATTGCAAGACAGTACACTCTCGTTGAACGCAGTTTTCTCAGAATCCCAAAACTTTAATTTCAGTTCATGTCATCCGCACAAGACAAGGTTCAATTGAAAAATACATGGATTATGAAAAAACATTTTTTTTGTTGCAGATGAAACGCGTTTAAGTGGAGCTGATTTGAAACTTCTGAAAGACCAAAACGAAATCTATGAGGACTTTTTGGATTCTATGGTGCACTTAAGGTTGAGATCAGTGTTGAAATAATCGTTCGGGAATACATCAATGCAATCGAGCAACAAAGTGGTTCTAACTGCATCTGCAACAACATTAACCTATATCATAACCTAAATTCGGCATAGGTGATTTACATGAGATCATGACTTTACATGGCACTGCGGGAGAGTGGAATTGATTTTTTCCCGCGATTGTTTCAACATCACCAGGATTTCAATAGCAGGAAAATGAACACAAGGGCACGGATTTATTGTAAAAAGAACTTTATACATCACAGAATATTAAATATTACACGAACAATGCATAACAAAGTCAACAAAATTGAAAAACATACCCTAGAAAATTTGCTGAGTATTTCAAAAATTAAATACAAATTTCCCATTAAGGGAACGAGTTTTGAGATATCGGAGATTCCAACAAATCCAAGAGCTCAGTTTAAAAGACTGTGTGAAATGAATACAGAGACTTGCGTATCGTGTCGTCATTCTTGCAGCTCCGGAGAAATTCGTCGAGAGTGACTATACCATCCTTGTCAAGATCCAGTTTCTACGAGAGGAAAAATACACAATTTCTTAAGTGAATGTTGAACGGGAAAGGGGTGAGGGGACACAGCATGTAGCAAAGTATATACAGGGTGATCCAGCCTTGTCCCTTGCTTTTTCCTCGATTATTTTAGTTTTGGTCACGGCAGTGGCGTGGAGTGTTTTGCGATTTATCGATTGATCTTCCATTTAAACCTATGCAAATGGATCGATAAATTGGGCGTTTACAACGAACACCTTAATGATCGATCTTTTACCATAGCTTTAAATGGAGACAAATCTATAATCGATATTCACGTCTCGCCACTGAGTCACGGTCGAAGACTGCAGAAACGATTCGACAATCGACTCCAAGGAATCAGAATTTCGTCGTCTTGAAGCCCCCCTAACACCTTTTGGGAGGTAGGAGGCAGGCTCTTACTTTAAACATCAAGGTTTCAAGCAAAATGTTGAAATTATTCCATAAAAATCGAAAAGTGTAGAGAATTTTAACCTTAATCAACATCAAAGAGTTAAAATTCGTTGATCCCTGTTAGAAACACTAATACCCAAAAGTAGGGAATAGAGCCTCTTCACAAAATAACAGGTCGTTAAATTTACGGAGAGGCTTGGGAAAAATGTTTTTTCAAGGAATCCAAAATTTTATGATACTGGATCCCCCGAGGCTTCACTGATGGGATGGGGTACAGAAGAGGCCCGTAGCTTCTTGAATTTACGATTTTAAGATCCCTTGTGCTTCATCAATGAGGTATCGGGGGACCGCGGGATCAACAAATTCGGATTCTTTTATTTTTTAAGCCTTTGCGTCAATTTAGCGACCTTGTGTTTTTTGGAGTTGAAGGGTGGAGGAGCTCTATCACTCGCGTTCAAAAGTCAGTTTTATGGACAGAGATAGACTGATTTCAGACGTTTTGATGTCAATATAGGTAAAAACAGGAGAAAAACAAGGGAAAGGCTAAAATGGTTTTTTAGCCTTGTTTCCAGTTTTCCCCTTGTTTTCCTTCTGTTCTCATTGTCTTGGACTGCTTCGTAAAAATTTGTATGTAGGTAATAATAATAGGTAATAAATGGTAATTTGGTAATTGCTTGAATGTCTAGTAGGTTCATTCTTGGATGATGAAAAATATTGCGAGGACCTACGCGACTTTTTGTCGTACACTTTGATTGGGTTACATTCTACAAAAAGAAACCAGGAGCATTCTGATATCGTTAAACTTTTGCAACTTCTTTTACCTCGAAAAACTGATCATCTGAACAAGTTTTCTCTTTACTCCCGATAAACTATGAATTCAAGACAAGAATTACCTTTGAAATTTTAATTTTTTGCATGGTTTCAGTAATTTTTTGCGAAGCATGTAAGTTGCATATTTTTTAGCAACATTGGGATGCTCTCGTTTCCCTCTTGCAAAATGCAATCCAATTAAAGTAGATCACTATCTAGTAAATTGGCCAACCTGAAATATGAAGTCAGTGCGATCTGATATGGCTGCTTGTACTTCTGGCGTGGGCTCCACAATTCGAAAGCCCGAGAGTTCAAAAACCGACCCGACGATGCTTGACACTTCATCTCGAGTCAGGTACCCGTCCTTTTTCACGTCGTATAAGGAAAATATCCACCGAAGTTTCTCGTCCGTTGTTCCACGAAGTAGCGTAGATAAGCCGTGAATCAAAATCTGTCGAGCCAAAATACCATTCAAATTGAATGATTAATTGTTGAAATGAATGTGAGATGAACGGGAAGAGGGGCGGAGTGACAATGAAACTGGTGAAACGGTTACCTCGATTGCAGTGTTTTAAAATCCCCTCTCTAATTTGATTTTTTTAAAAGAGAGATCAACTCAACGGTTATGCCTTAAAATTTTCGGTCAGTCTTCGCGCATAGAGGAAAAATTATCGAAGTTCTTAAGAAATGATGTCGAGTAGTTGATCTATATATCGATTGATAAAGTAAGCCAGGAAGTCTGCAATAGTGTTGATCAAGCTACGTGTTTGTGTAGTTTCACCGTTGATATGTAACAAAAAAGCTTAACACTGAGATATGTACACGGTTATGCCTAGATATATATTTTTGGACAAGTTTCATACTATAAACTGTACAAGAATATCAAACCAAGGCGAAGTTATACCGATCTGTAGATTACTGATCCGAAGATTGCAATTCAAAATCACCGTTGCGAGAAACAGCTATACACATTTTTAACTTGTCATACCTACATTCGAGACTCAAGATCTGGTTTAAAAATAAAAATTCCTCTGAAATTGACTTGTATTGGTTGTCTATCCTTCAAATTTTTGGTGTCTCCTTATTCCAAAATATTCACGAGAAATTTCAGAGGAAAAGGTTAGTTTCCTTTCAAACAAATTAAACACTATAGTAAACCCCCGGACGAAGAAAATAATATGGAATTCATTTTAAAACAAGATTCAGGAGAGAAATACCATGTAACCCCTAGAAGATACTCAAACCGGGTCAAATTGACCCAAAATTTGCTAAAAACACGTGCCCCGTGGGTTGTGAGGGCCGCTGGATACGATGTTTAGATATAAGTATATAAAAATACAACGTAAAAAAAACAGGCATCAAATTTGGAAAAAGGGGTGGGGGATCGAGTGTGAACACAGCCGAAGATAGGAAAGACGTAAACCAGCCTCGTTTTTCAACTTTTCTTCCGAATTTGAGCGACTCCACAATAATGGTAGAATAGCGCGGAGCATTAAGAATTCACGCCGCGCGCTAGAGCGCCTTCAATTTTGCAGATGCAACGCGGACATCCGTCAAGGACGAATAGTCGTATCTCTGCGCCGTCATTAACGCGCATCCTTTCCCTTGCTCTATTTTCATGTTGTGTTAGTTCCATTTGTCTTATTTTTATGGCGGCACTTCATAGGCTACGTGAGCAACACAACCGAAGATATAGTGAGAAAACACTAGTATGTTACCAAAAATGTGAAAATTTCAAAGAAAGTAAATCGTATTAGAAGTAACATTGGTAATAATTCAAAAACTTAAAAAAGTCTCGGGCATCTAAAGAATTATGAGAGTTCTAATAAGGACAGAGAGGAAATAGTGCGTGGGTAATGTTGTACGTTCAACGGGTAATGAAAATAAAATACTGAAACGTACGGACACTTACCTCAAAATTAAGGTATCCAGTTTTATTCAAATCAAATGAGTTAAATACGTGATGCGCGTACAAGTTGGACATAGTAGCTACGGAAAAAAATCAATCTTGATGAATACTATTAATCAAAGGTCAGAAGAGTGGGATTATAATGTATGAAAAATATGAAAGCAAGTGAAACATTAATGGAAGAGCTAATTTTGGTTGGGAAGTTCTCAGCGGTAGAGTGCTCACACAAATAGTAAAAAATGACGTGGCATAGCTATCCTATTCAATTCCTTTGAAACTATATAATTTGGTTGGCATTTCTGAAAAACATGTATTAGAACCTGAGATAAGATAAAAAAACGATACTTCTGAATAAGCTCTGGCTCCGGATATTCATAGGATTACATTTTGCAATTAGGAACTATAAATTCCGGCTCTATTTAAAAACAACGTATGTGCCATTGGTCTCCCTATGCACAAAAGTGTTTTTTCAGATGAGCCAGAATTTATAGCTCCAAATTGCAAAATGTAGTCCAATTTTGTAACCACAATATTACTTCAAAAAGATGTTCTATCGCTTAAAAAAATTTATCATGATCGAGATTCATGTCGATCGAATGCATATACTCTTTTATATTTTGATTTTGGCTTGCAGTGTTCGACGTCATGACCAAACAACTTGTTTGGTATGGTCATGTCAATAGGATGACGGAAGAGAGGCTGCCAAAAAAGATGCTTGATTGGGTTCCTCCTGGGAGGAGGCGTAGGGGACGCCCAGTGAGAGGTTGGCGACAGGGGGTGTTAAGTGAGATGAGGGAGTGTCAACTCCCTGATAACCTGTGGGAAGACCGAGCTTTGTGGCGATTAGGTGTCGCAAAGCGCCAAAGAGCGCTATAACAGCGACTCGTATGTATGTATGGCTTGCACTATTGAATTTCATACCTCAGCGAGGGGTTGGACAAAACGTACTTTAATAATAACATAGAGGGTTCTATATAGAAGGTTTAAAGCTCCGGAAAATTGCAAGTTTTAAATCGGGCATCTTTTAACTGTGGAAAAATGTTGATCGTAATAAAATGCGCGGTAAGTCTTGTTTATTTAAGTCCGCAATTTCCATACGTGAGTATAAATAAACAAATATATAGAATTTTAGATACCTGAAAACTTCCCGATTAAACTCGCGGAGAGAAATTACCTAATGGATCAACAGAATTTTCTATTTAGTGTACGTGCAACGACAGGAATTCCTCTCTTGAAAGTAGGGAGAATTTCCTGGTTTCGAGAAGTATTCCTATCACTGCAAAAAGACGTTTTATCAATTCAAAAAAACTTCAGGTTGATTTAACGAGAAATTCTTGTCGCAGCATATTTAACAGGTAATTTTTTTTTTTTTTTTTTTTTTTTTTTTTTTTTTTTTTTGAATTTATGGGTAAGTTGCAGTTAACACCTCTGGATGGAGGGAGGGGGGAGTGAAAATTATAGGTAAATGCTCACCACCGTTTGGGAAAAATTTCGAGTAAATGTTCTTGAAAGCCTCCTCATTAATGACTCCTGATGGACACTCCCCTTTCAAATTCCGGTAAATGTGTTTGAGTTCTGCTTCAGTAAAGCGAGTGCCTTGACACAGACCTTTGAGACTGTTCGGCCGATATCGCGGCTGCGTTGTCGCTATCTCTTCAACTTCAATTTGAACTGCAAAGAAATATGTTCATTTATGTTTTAAAAATCCATTCACGGTTTAAATAAAATCATATAAGCGGGAACGTAAGAATTGAAGCGGAAAAATGCGCTGCTCTTCTTAAAAGTCATAACTGAGATATGCAAAAATTTATTGGAAAAATTTGTGATACAGCGATTGAAAAGAGCGCAGAGAATCTATCGAAAATATAAATATATGTGTTGGGTCGACAAGGCGTGTATCAATAAGTTTTGACGGTTGCATCTCATATATTAGAAAAAAATGATCTGATAGTCTAGTCAGCATATTGTGTCAATCGTAGTCGGAAATGTGTTGTACTTTAAGGGACACAGTGAATGCTTTTACTTACAGTTTTTTTTTTTTTTTTTTTTTTTTTTTTTTTTTAATATTTTTAAGTATCAGTCAAGTGTCAGTTTATCGTTAATTATAACTTGTATACGATATGATTCAGATTAAACCATGCTTGGAAAATCAATACGGGTTCAGTAGTCGAAAGGCTCAAAATACGCGCTAAAATTCAGAAGCTTAAATACTGTAAAAAATTATCAAAATTATTCAGCCGACTTCGTTCAGTGATGTAAGACGAAGCATTAAAATTGATGATGAGCTATGCACAAATCGAAAAATAATGAATAAATAGATAAGTAAATAAATAAAGGTAAAAAGGTAATTAAAAACATGTCGTGTCTTCCGACAAAAAGCAATATATTCACTAAAAGTTCATTGACATTTCTCAAAAAAAGCTTACAATCACTTAGGGAACCGTTTCAATGAAAACCTATCAAGCTCTATCTCAACCTGCTAACCTCCTCTCCACCTACGTTTATGTTTCTTATTTCTGACAAAACTCTTAAGAACGGTAACTTGCGGGTTGTTACAAGTGCGTCGGATTCAATCACATGTCCAAAAGTTTACAACGGAAAAAAAATAAAACTCTTAAAGCCGCTGAAAGCTGTTCTTCCTTGAACCAAAAATGATGCTGCCCACTATAAGCCATTTTAACCTAAGCATTTTTTCTTATTCCTAGATCAACTATACCTTGAATTAAGATGAAATAATGAACTCTTCGTGGCAAACATTGGCGGATCCAGCAAATTGGCAACATTGTTTATCTCCATTTAAACCTATGGAAATATATCAATTCTTGGCGGGGCCAGGTGCTCCAACAAGAATCGATTATTTAACATAGGTTTAAATGGAGGGAATCCGGTGTTGCCAAGTTGCTGGTTCCGCCTTCGGTGGCAAATTCAAAGATATTCATGCTTAAGCTAAGCAATTTTTTCAGTGACAGGAATATTGTTTCAAATAAATATAACGTCGCGTTTCTTTCATCATAAATACCCTTTGAATTTCTGGAAAAATTGTAACGCAAAAAAGCGGAGCTCTCATTCAGCAGCGGCAAAAGCAAATAAACAGATCGAATAAGAGAATAAGGAAAAAAGAAAGAGAAATAGAACGAAAGTAAGAGAAGAGATATACCTTAAGTAATACGATCGGTGAATGCTGAGCGTGTTAACATGTTAGTAGGCAGAAAAGCCGGTTGAAAGAAATGTAACTCACGATCTACAAATTCTGGATATTCTGCCTCTTCCGAGGACGTACTCCCACTCATTCTCTCCCAGGCTGCCACAAAAATCGAACATAATTTCAGTGACGTCGAAATTTAAAATTGTATAGAACATTATATGATCGCAGATTCATACGTCGAACTCTCGCCACTCACGAACTATATCGTCATCTTCCGGCCAAAGTATCAGAAGCGCCATGCGACGTTTACAAATTGTCGCCACCATTTCATTTTTCACAGAGAATCGTTGGTTGAATTTGTTTGAATATTTCACTTAATTTTCTTTGTACCGCCGATAAAATTTAGTGAAATGTTCAAACAGATTCAAGTAATAATTTCTCTGGAAAAAAAAGAAAAAGAAAAAGAAAAAAAAATAGGATGGCGGCGGAAATTTTGAAATTTCACATGGCGCTTGTGATACTTTGGCCGGAAGGTGACGATATGTTTCTGCAATACTCTATAAATCGTCTTATTTCTCTATAGATGATGTTTTGGTGATCTTGATTTCTTTGAGATAAAAACGACTGGCACACAAAAAAAATAAAACCCCATACTTAGTTTCATTTTTATCAATCGAGCACCATCATGAGGAATGATATACAACTCGGTTAAGGAGCTTGTAAGTTGAAGACATCTAAAAATTCGGATTTTTTTTCATGGAAGGGGGCAACGTTTGGTTTACACGCGGGAGTCATTAAACAGCGGTTATACCTAAGATGAGTGTGTTGAGTATGAATCTATCGATTTTCATGACCCTGGAAAAACTGCGCATTAATTGTTTTTCATTTTTATATATTTGTTTAATCATTTCATTTTTTTCACTTAAAAATTTAAATTGCCTTTCTTCCTTTGGAAACTAACAGAGAAAGAAGTATCTGCAACATCGCGGATGGAGATACATGTTCTAGACTTCTTTTATCATTATGTAGGTTCGTTCCGAAACAGAAATTCAGTGTGGTTATTTTTTCTTTTTTTTTACATTTCGACTCCCCCCAGTTTCCTCTTCCTCTCTTCCTCTCTTTCAATATGTGACAAACGACTGTGGGCATTATACTATTTCGAACGGGGGGAGGGTTGGGGGGGACGACTGCGGATGAAGGGGGAATGGAATTGACGGACTCGGACAACAAAAGCAGGCGAGGGAAACGGCTCGGCATTTTTTATCGGGCGCCATGATGCGCATATTCCTCGGCCGAGGCCCGATGTACGATATACGATACGTCGGGGAAATATACAAGTTGAATGGCGCTCCCGAATTTACAAGTAGTTTCGAGTTCCCCGCCTTGGTCCTGTACTTGCATGCCCTCCGCTCCCATTCCGAAATTTCCGATGCCTCTTTCCCCATTTGTTTCCTCGGTACCCATCGACGCACAGTGAATCGAGACAGTAGAAGACGTCGGACAAAATTTAGAAACTTTATACGCTTATAACTCCGTTTATACAAAACTTTGAGGTTCTGAAAGTGGTTTCAGTGGTTTCCTCGTAAGATTTCCTCCCAGAAGCACCCCTTAAAATTCTAAATGTGACGAAATAAGCATAAAAATTTGCGGTTTTAGTCCAAAATTTTATGTCCGACCTCTCTAATTAACTCGATCCACTGTGCGACGTAAAGGACTATTCTGCCGTGCGTAAGAAGAACGCCGTATGAACCTTCCGGGGTTGGCAAATTTCCTTTGATAGAATTTTTATTTTTTAGGAAATTTATGAACATTTTTCCTTGAAATTTTCAGGGAATTTAGGTAAAATTGCGAACAAAACTATCTGCAAAATTGGGATTAAAATATTCATAAGGTTACCAGGAAATTCGTTTTTTATAAATGGAAATTTGGTAACGCCTGAGGATTCATACGGCGTTTTTCCTTAGCACGGCAATATTCTGGCGCCCTGAGGAAAAACGCCGCAAGAGCTTTCCAACGTTGCAAAATGGGTCAGATATAGATGGTGAAATTGCTAAACCACGTATATCGGTTTGCGACGTTGCAGACTTCCTGTTATAAAGCTACACTGCCGCACTAAGGAAGATCGCCGTATGAGCCTTCAGGCGTTGCCAAATTTCCTTTGATAAAACACGAATTACCTGGTAAACTTATATGAATGTTTTCCTTCCAATTTTTCAGGAAATTTTATTCGTAATTTTACCTAAAGATTCTGAAAATGTAAAGGAAAAATATTCATAACTTTCCTCAAAAATAAGCATTTTATCGAAGGAAATTTGGCAACTCTCGAATATTCATACAGCGTTCTTCCTTAGCAAGGCAGTACAGAGCTTTCCTCGGAAATGAAAATTTTATCACGAGCGGGGGCAAAAATGTGACAACATTCGAATGTTCATACGGCGTTTGGCGTAGGCGCGGCAGTATCCCCATCCCTTTCACCCTCAAAAACGGCCCAATCTGAATTTCCTCCTTTTTCAGTTTACGGATAAGTAACGTAGATTGACTTCTTCTCGGGCGAATCCTTATTACAAATCGCAAAGCGGGAGCTGGCGATTTTAACAACTATTCGGGGAATGAACTTCAGCGCAAAGAGCCTCCCAAAAAGTTGCCCCTTTTTTCGGGGGCCTTCAGAATTGATTAAATGAAGTTGAAATCAGTGGCGTGGCGTGAATTGCGATGTATCGATTGTTAAGCCATTTAAACCTATGGAAAAGGATCGATAAACAGGGTGTTCGTAGCGAACGCCTTAATAATCGATTCTTTACCACGGATTCAAATGGGGCTAAATCGAAAATCGATCATTCACGCCACGCCACTGGAAATGGAACCTCGTGATGAGGAAAGCCTCTACAATAATTTCCAGTTGAGCTCAAAGCTGGTTTTTTTGATACAGTTATGCAAAAGTTTCATTTCTTCACGTCATGAAGGAATAGGTTATTCCCACAAAAGGTAAAAATCATAATATTTTACCATCAAGACTGGAGAGCCTGCACCATATATTACACCTATGAGTTCAATTATCATAAATCCAGCCCCGCTCCTTCCCACTTTTGAGGGAAGGAAATAAAGCATTGTTCACCTTTTAATTTCTGTCGGAAATATCGACGGTGAAACTACCAAACCACGTATCTCGTTTGCGGTGTTTAAAAATCTACGCTCACATTTTATTTTTTTGAAGTCGACCAAATCAATATCATTCCTTGAAATTTTCACGGAATTTTCTCCGCAGAAAGAGGAAAAATCACAGAAATTTTCAAGACTGGATGTTAAGTAGTTTTTCATTTAAAAAATAAAGTGTGACAGGAAGTCTGCGACGTCGCAAACCGAGATACGTGGTTTGGTAGTTTCACCGTCGATATGCCTAATATTCACACAGTTTATGCAGCCAAATTTTGAGTCATTGCCGATAATTTTCTTAAGTGTACCTGGAGGCAATTTTTGATTATTATCACCTGGAACTTAGTTATCAAAATTTTCTTCTATCTTCCTCATTCACCTAGAGACTCAAAGTGACAGTTCTGTGGGTATAGTCCTGAATCTTAGGAAGTTACCAGTTTTGATAACGAGTGAAACGATAATATTGAGTGATCATAGATATTCAACGGCATTTTCTCACCTCTTTTTAAAAATCTAATGAAACAGTTTCTACTTCCACCTGCTCTTGATTTTCGTATTGGAACGTCCAAGTCATCACTTGAATCTGTAAGTAAAAAAAAAAAAGAAATCATTGAAGTAATACAAAATTTAGCTAAACAACCTGATTACGAAAATCAAACAGAAAAGTACAATTTTTATGGACGATCCAAACATGTCGTTTTTGAGATCACTCCCAGAAAAGACGTCAAAATAATGTAAGTATTTTTGTCCACCTACGCAAAATTTTGTTTTAAGGTGATTCGATGGACGCCATATTTTGTGTCAGAACGGCATGCGATATATCGCATCAATTGGTTCCATTTTTTCAGCTACTCGTCATTTTTCTCCAATTTTGAGATCGCAATTCTGTTGTCAGGAGACTAAAGCACTCACTTACCAATTTTAACAAANTCGTGTCATTTAACCTCTGAAAAGTCTATTCGCACGGCTGTATCTCTTGCATGCAACAGGCCCATTAAACAAACAAATAGAAAAATACAATTTTTTATGGACAGTCCAAGCATGTCGTTTTTGAGATCGCTCCCGGAAAAGACATCAAAAATAGTGTAAGTATTTTTGTCCACCTACGCAAAATTTTGTTTTAACTGATTTTGCCCTCCAACTTAGGTGCGAAATACACACAGCATCATTCCAAAAAGAGCACATATTACTCTTTGAAATAAAGTCTATGATTTACGCCTGACTAAGTTATTTGCTGTCATCGTAGAAGTTTCGGAGGTAATTAGAGGGTCTATATTTCCCGCTATTTTTGCTTTGTTATTGGATATTTTAAAAATAATGAGGAATAGGAGAGCACCGTCTCATTATTCTTGCGTTTGAAAGATCGAACAAGGAGCTTGTGTCATCTTGCACTCTCTGTGAAAAGTTCAGAGGGATCTTTGTTCGAGTTCCAGTTATAAAAAGCCAACTGGGATAATAAACCGGGAGTCTTTTAAAAATTCCCCGGTTCTGCAGATAAAAATTGGTCTAAATATTGGAACGCACCCAGCTGTACTTTTATTGTCAATAACCGCTCCAGACCACTCAGACATATTCTCGACATGTTTATGCATACGAGACTCATTTCTTGCAGTGTGTAGAACTTACTTAAGACCACCATTTGCAAACATTTTTAAAGATTGAACCCTTCAGTGTCGTGGGAGAGGCAGAGCGTATACACGTAAAAAAATTCTCTTAAATCAACAATGGAAGTTGCCCGTTGGAGTGGAATTATTATTGATAGAAAGACGAGAATCGCTTGATAAAAGCGTGGGCGTATGTCTCAGAGGAGCGCGGAAGAGGAGGTTCAATCGGTGAAGGTTGGATGAGAAAAAAATAGATAGGACCGCGATAATTTTGGCAAAGCTCGGCTCTCTTCATCTGTCGTAGTAGTAAACCCGTTGTTTTTAGATGAACTCGAGCGCTGGAATTAGAATTTATGATCATCGCCGCGCCCGTTCAGTTTTCATATTTGTGTTATTTCCTCATTTCTTTCTTGAGCTTTTTACCGCTCTCTCAGGTTTGATTTTTGTGAAAGGTAGATTGGGAAAGGCTCTGTTTTTACAGACACACTGAAAAAAAATTCTGGGCGTTTTTACCAAGGTCCGTTTATACCTTTACCATCTCACGTTTTTTAACAATTTTTGGTAATTTTACCAAGACAGACTGGTAGGCTTACCTAAAACCCGGTATTTTTACTGTTTTTTACAAGTAAGAATACCACTTTTATTGGTAATCAATTCCTGGTAACTTTGCCATTTTATCTCGGTAATTCTACCACAGTCGATAAAAAATATTGGCGTTTTTACCAAGGTCTAGTAAAATAACCGAGAATGTCAATAATTTTACCGAGATTTCTCGGTAAAATTACCAATTCCATAAATGGTAATTTTACCAAGAAAAAACTGGGATCAAATACAACCCTGAATTCTTGGTAATTTTACCCTTTTCTTAGTAAATACACCGAGATTTTTTTTTCAATGTGGTGAACGAATTAACTCGGGTGGACATTCGAAGACAAGGGACCATGTTGGAGCAAAGGGAGTAAAGTGGATCAAGGGTGGAGGCAAAGAGCGGAAATGTGGAGGAAATCTGTAGCACCCCCCTGGCAATTCAAATAAATTACAATCCGGTAGGGCGAGGAGAGGAAGTGTGGAGGGATTCCCCTCCACTGATGGTACAACTGATTTCCATCCCCCCTTTTTCATTAATTATAATGATCATCATTAATACTCGTCAATGCTCATCAGCTACTCCTCCTTCCTTTCTGTCCCTTTCGCTTATCATGGAATAGAAGAAAATTGCCCTAAAATAATCCAAAAATTGGTAAAGTTTCACAAATGATGCAAATTTGTATCTAGGCGTTGGGGAAAGGCGGTAGTTAGTTGAAGTAATTTCATGGATTTTAGCTGCGATCGGGACAATAAATTAAATGGACAATAAATGAATGGGACGATTAATTAAGTCTAATGTCACACGCATGTGGCATGCATATTTCCATTTAAAGGAAAAACATCGTAACATAATTCTAAATGTAGCATTTTTCTACACACATAATGCCCTTTTACCTAAAAAAAAAATATAGAAAAAAAAGAGAAAAACCCTGATTGCCACTAAATATTCTTCGTGATTTGATTTTGATTTTCTAATGTTATACCGTGATTATTTCGAAAAATTGGCGATTAAATATGATTTTCTCTTCTTAAAAAATGCATGGAATTCTGACATGCAGGAAACAAATGAAAAATACAACGTAAAGATACACAATTTTCGCTTTGGACGTTAGCATTGATTTACACGCTTGTGAATGAAGACTTTATATAAGCAAATTTTCGAAAAATACTGAGGACTCATCCAATAATATTTTCCTTTTGAGAAGTACTTTGTGGGTCCATTCGCTTGAAATTTCATTTTTTGTTTTATATACCGCTCCCTTCATTACAGCACAACTGAACTGTTTGTTTGCATCGGTCAAAATGAGTTAAAATTTTGAAAATCCAACTGTTGTTAACTGAAGCATTTTATGCAGTCATAACGGTAAGATTTACCAACTGTTTATTTTTCGAACAATTAATAATGCTCTTTTGAATGATGATTGAAAATTCCATGAGAAACCGTTTTCCGATCTAACTTGCACCAGGCAAACTTGCACCGTTGCCCGAAAGCAACAAATGGTTTTTTGGTTTTTGTCCTCTGTGGATTTAAATTGCCTTAAAGCAACAATTGTTCTTTGGAGGGGATTAGGAGTCTGATCCTCCAACATTCGAAATTTTTTTAAAGAAAAATCTACCCCGGCTGTTTAAATAATCGAAAAAACATCGCACAATGTAGATTGTCGCTCCAAAATCGACGATTAGCTTCAATCAATCTAAATTTGCGATGATCATGGTGCGTAGCCCCGTAATTATTTTTTGACTTACGTGATAAATTTGGCGGGTTTTAATGGGGAACCTGTTTGTGCGTAAAAAGTATGTGTGTTCTGCGTGAAATTTCAGTGAGAGAACGCGCAGTGCTGTAGCCCTTAATTTCAGAACCTGCACTGAAAAAAAAGTTAGGAATATAAGGACACACCATCCGTTCCGAGCTCAGAGCGCCAAAAGTTCCAGGTACTACGCCCGGAACTTTCGGCCGCTGAACCCGGAACACGAGCGGTATGTCTATATAGCCCGTAAGTAGGTACAGCTTCCACGGCCAGAGTTGTTTTTTCAGTGTGTTAAGTGATCCTTTTCCAAAGCTATAATGACTTCATTTGGATGTATTTCTGTCAAACGGAACCATGTGCATTAAGACATGAGCCCTGAGACCCATGAGCAGGGGCGGACTCGCCATGGGGGCGGGGAGGCGATCGCCTCCCAACAATACGCCCTGGGGGCTCTGAAGGGGCTTCCGCGGCGATTTGTTTTTCGAGTCATCGTTTTTACCCCGTATAGTGTTGTAATTTTCAAATCCCTTTCGGTCACTACAAGACCCCAAAATCCTTGAAAATGTGTCTCGAAGAGACATTAATGGTCGTCTGAAGCTTATAATACATAGTATACAGGGAAATTTAGTGGGCTCCTGGGGCCCCAAACGTGATGAAGGGGCCCCCAAATAATCCTGAGAATGGGTCAGTTTGAAGTTCAGATACTCTTGAATTAAACTCCAAAAAATGCTTAAAATTGCGTTTAAAAAGTGTAAAATGTTCAACATTTTTTCGGGGGAGGGCCCCCCAGACCCTTCTTAGATGGATGATATTTTGCAATGAGGAACCACTGTCTCTGACTTTCCCATAAAAACACATTTCTGCATATGGAAACCAATGGCATATTTATTGTTTCTAAAATGAGCCAGAAATAAAGGTTCTTTATTGCAAAATGTGATCCAGATGAGCCCCCAAATGCAGGTTGCCTCTTTACGTTTCGACTACCAGTCCGCCCCTGCCCATAAGAATTTAAGCATAACAGGGCTCACGTCATAACGCACATAGTTCTGTTTGGCAGAAATGCGTCCATTTCCAAGGCGCATGCATGGTTTTCCGACGTACCTGAGAGTCCCTTAACAACTACATTCATTTCTGGCGCCGGAGATTGGCTCCTCCATCTCGATCCGGGTGGAAACCAGTGAAGAATCTAATATCCCGGCTCAGCCCCGCGCGTCATTCCAGTGTCAGAGACCGCCGCACGCCACACAGCTCACTCCGCGTCACACATGTTCCAGCGAGCGCTAACCGAATCGCACGTGCTCACTTCGCCAACCCCGACGCAACCCGCCTCACATTTTACGGCACAGCACCGCCAGCTTTGACTTTGTACTTGATGATGAGGTAAAACAAAACCGCGGCTCCGGAGACTGGCATCAGTCAAACGCTCAAACGTGGAGATTTAAAATTTAACTGATCGAACGTGTTGCGTTTGCTGATTGAGGTTAAGAATTCACCACGCGGGGCCCGAGCGAGCCGTTTTTCGAGGGGGACGAGGGGGACTCGCGCTGGTTCGGGGTCGAGGTGAAAATGGAGCGGCTGCCGGTGATGAGACCCATCCGATACTGAGAGTGTTTTACACATCAACATGGAATCCGGTGGAGTCGAGTGCAGCGGGTTCTTGAGGTTTATCATATGCTCGCTTGGAAAGGTGCCAAAGAAAAGTTTCCATGTCTTAATACACGCGCTAATTCCATGAGCTGCCCTCGCAGCCCCCCCCCCCCCCCCCACAGCCCCCCTCCCCCCGACCGCCTGTGTCAGGTCGGTCCCTCTGACGTTCGTGGTCGAAATGCGTCTCTGTCGCTCCCTCCTACTCTCTCTCTCCCTCTTTCTCTCTTGTCCGTGACTCTTACGACTCACATCCCACCTGCGTCCATCCTGACTCAAATTCGAACTCCACCATTGGCGGATCCTGAGAGTGGTTGAAGAGGGGACCATTTGCGACAACCCCCCCCCCCCCCCTTACACGAGTAAAATGGAGAGGTTTGAACCTCTCCCCCAACTCGCAGAAAATTTTGGAGAGTCAACTATAATCGATGCAAATTCAGCTGTTATACTCGGTAAAAATTGACGGATTTTTATCCTTCGCAATGTATATTTCAGGGTCGTTCGTATAAAAAAACTTGTAACGAAGGAGATAGAAATCTAAAGAGAAGAAAAAATCACTTGAGCAATGTTTTTGCCCTAACACCAGGATAAGTGAAATTTTTGTGTCTCCTCTCTTTGCTGTTGACGACCATCTGCCAAACTCTCAAGCACACCGATTGCATGTTAACCACCATGATTTTAGCAATTGATGATGGTGTTTCCCGAATAAAATTTCTTAATTCTTTTTATGCCATTGGTCTCACTGTAGGACTAAATAAGTCCGCACTTGATTTTTCATATCTAGCCAAACTTCATGTGCTTTTCTCTCTTATTCTGTTTCTATTTTGGTCTTCTTTTTAGTCCAAGAAAAAGGCTATATGTCACCAGATTTCTCAGAGAGTGGGTCCGCTACTGAATTCTACTCCTAATGAAATGTTTGACAAAATAAAAATTAAAATGCATCATCTCATCTTTCCAAAGATAACGCGAAAACTTGGGAATCATCTTGTAAGTGAACAACAAGCATTTGGAATTTGCAGTGATCAGCCTCAGACTTTTTGCTCCGGGGAAAAATCGAACCTAACGTTGCTCGAACTGACCATGGAAAACAATTTAAACACGTTCGGTAAGAGACCAGTATTTCACTATACCATTATGCGTTTTTCACTTCTATCTAACACACTGAACTAAACATTAGTAAAAAACTTCAGCACAGAGATAAAATTCTTGAACCGTGTAATATACACAAAATTAGTTTAATGATCGATTTTATTCAAAAAAAACTTCTATTTCTTATGATTTCATTATATTTTATTTTTATTTTTTAGCGGAGAGTTTGGATCGACGGACATTAATAGCACTAATCTCTGACTTATGCGTTTCCGAATTTTCAACACGTTCTGCTACATTCTGTGTGAGATTTATTTAATGAGGAAACATGTAAAAATTCATTGACTGTGAGTGTGTCACCTATCATTAAAAAATGATTTTTTACAGCTGCTTCCAAAAGCACTCCCTTTCAGCGCATTTTTCTCAGGATTATCTCCTTTTCCGCGATATTTACATATCGACGGTGAAACTTCCAAACCACGTAACTCTCTGTGTTACGTTATGGACTTGCTGTCATTCTTTATTTTTCAAATTGAGGATTACTCGGCGTCAATTCCTAAAAACTTCCGTGATTTTTCTTCTCAGCGGAAAACAAATTCCTAAAAAACTCAAAAGAATATTATTAATTGGTTCTCCTTTAAAAAATTAAATGAGAGCGAAGATTTTTAAACACCGCAAACGAGATACGTGGTTCAGAAATTTCACTATCGATGTGTAGAGGAGAGCGATGAAAGTTATAAAAATCATAAATTCACTAAATTGTTCAAAGAATTGACATAACATTCTTGAGATCACGCGAGAGGAATATCTCATGGGTATATATTTTCTGAGAAGAACTAACGCTACGCGCTTTAAACTTTTTACTTTGGATATCAGAGTTGCAAATAATCAAATAATTTACAAACCCGATATCAATCAGAACTTAAAAAATAAGAAAAGAGCCACAAAACATCGTAAATACTCGAATCCGGGAACTAAATCCGAATATCGCACAAGCTAACCATAAACGGATTATTTTTTTTTTTTTTTTTTTTTTTGGTTCGGCAATCAACAGATATGACATGTAAATTTACATATCATCCATTTTGTGATAAGAATTTTTGAATTTATGAATTGACAACACTGCTGTGACTCTTTTGTGGTTGAATTCTAATCGTGTCAGGTGCGAAGTAATAAACATTCGCCACCGCGCCGAAACTATGAAAGAACTCCGGATCTTTCGCCCGAGTCGTAATTAATTTTCACTCAAGTTTATACACACTCTATAAGCATCGACGTTGCTCATTTTTTTGGAGTGTTTCTTAATAGCCCGGAAAAAACAAGACAGCTGCTCGGGTCACATTTCAAAAATAGAAAATTCCGTGACGTCCCGGTTTAGTTTTTCGACTTCCACCTTTCTCTTCCAAGAGTTCTCAGCTTCGTGCAGTAACACAGACTAACAGGGTTTATGCCGAACGAATCAAAGGGACTCATTGAGTCAAGGACGATTTAGAGACAATCTGATAAATATGGTGTCCTGCAAGAAATCCGCAAAAAATTCTCACATACGAAAGTTTGATTCGAACTTTGTTTCACTGGCTAGAGGTGTGAAAATTTAAACCTAATTCTTCCTTCCAAGTTTTTGTCACCTGGCTTCTCTCCATAGTCACTATCCATATTATTGATTTTATTTACAGTACGTAAATCGGAACAGAGGGAGTACTCACTTTTGGAAACAATCGCGGGGTGCGAAATTTGAAGGGCGATATCATTCCGATGCTAGTCACAAATTTTAATGCATTAATCTGAATCATTCGCAATCATCGCAAATACAACAAGGTTATATCGTCATCTTCCGGTCAAAGTATCACAAGCGCCATACGACGTTTCAAAATTTCCGCCGCCATTTTGTTTTTTAACAGAGAAATTATTGAACGAAGCTATCCGAAAATTTCACTGAATTTTCTTTGTGCTGCTGATAAAACTCAGTGAACTTTTCAAACAGCTTCAACCAACAATTTCTCTGTGAAAAAATAAAATGGCGGCGGAAATTTCGGAACGTCGCATGGCGCTTGTGATACTTCGGCCGGAAGATATCGACGTCTGTTTACAATGGAACTATCGATCTGTGATGTACATCGAATAACGTAGCCACTAAATTAGTCTACTGTGAATAGACAGACGTGTTTCTGACCAAGTTAATAGTGGCGAGGCGTGGATGACCGACTATCGATATTCCTCCATTTGAAGCTATGATAAAGAATCGATTATTAAGGTGTTCGTTGCGAACACCCTGTCTATCGATATTTTTCCATATGTTTAAATGGCAGATGGATCGATATATCGCAAAGCACGCAACGCCGTACAGTGGACCGAGTTAATCAGGGAGGTCGGACATGAAATTTTTGACCAATACTACAAATTTTGATGCTTATTTCGTCAGATTTTAAATTTCAAGGGGTGTTTTCAGAAGAAAATCTCACGAGAAAACCAATGGAGCCACTTTTAGAACCTCAAAAATTTTTATAAACGGAGTTATAAGCGTTTAAATTTTCCAAATCTTGTCCGACCTTTCCTATTGACTCGATCCACCGTGCGCCGCTACAAGTTAATCTAGGCGGGGACAAATTTTCAAGCAAAATAGTATATTATTACCAGTTTCTTGGAAAAACTGCAGCCGTCACCCCGACGACATTTTGGCAGGAAACGGAACGAGTGACGCGCGTATAGAAATAAGAGGGTAAACAACCAATTAAATCGAGGGAAATGGCAACGTGGGAGGGCGGTGGTGACCGCTCGGAACAGGGACACGCGCGGCTCATGAAAGTTGACTGTTGTGTTTTTTCGATTTTAATATTTATTCCGCGGGTGGCAAGAACACGCCACCATATTTCATTACTGCCTCGCTTTATCTCCCTGCCAAGTAATGAACGGCGCTGCCAAGGCGAGGCGATGCGACGCGGCGCGCTGCTGAAATTCTGAACGGGTACTTAGTATAATCGCTTCGATTAACCCTTTCATCGGCGCATTCTGGATTTCCCATCATCGAGAGAGGGGAGCAAGCGGGAAAAGTCGATCCAAGCCAGGTGCAGCAACTCGCATATCAAAATCCATGAGCTTGCTTCTAAAGTTAGCGGATCTGTTCCCCGAACAAAAATATGAAATTTGGAAAAATAACATCGACGACATAAAAATTTCGATAAAAGTGTCAGAATCCAATATTAAATGTTCAAGCACTATTATTTAACAAACTACATATTAAAACTCTGACTTCTCAAAGTTTTTTTTTTTTTTTTTTTTTTTTTTTTTTATACCTACATTCAAAAAAATTGCAAAATTTGCCGCCCCCTAGATTTGCCGTCATGAGCCACGGCCCATGTGGCCGCCTCCTTAATCCGGCCCTGCCTGTTTGTAAAAATCGCTTATCATTTTGTGTGTGCCCCGAGTAAGTATACGATTAAACAACAATACCACAACATGTAGTTGACGTAATCTTTTCTCGTTTGGTGAAAGAAGAAGTTCAGGTATTTTCCGCGTGAAAATGTGATTTCATGTTGATACCACCATTATATTTCTATTCTCCTTCTCCTCTTAGACTCTTGTTCTTTCCCTTTTCTGCCTTCTCTTTCTTCTTGCTCTATCAATATTCTTCCATATTTTCTTCTTTTTTCTTTCTATTTCTTCTTCATCTTTTTCTCCATCTCGTTTCTTGTTTTTTTCTTTCCTCTTTTCCCGCTCATCTCTTCTCTTCTAATTCTTCTTTATCTTCTTCCTTTTGTCTCACTCTGCTCCATTCCCCCTCTTCTTCCACTCTCTTTTTTCCTCTCTTCTGCTTCTCTCTCTATCCTTCCTCTTCTTTTTCTTTCATTTCCTCTTATTCTATCTCTCTTCTCTCTCATTTCTTATTCTTCT